TGTATGGGCAGCCCACAAGATGGTAGGGAGGGGATCTCTTATCAGACTAGTGACCGCAAAAAAAAAAATTTAAGTCTCAAAGGCTAGAAATACTTCTGACAGAACTCTGAACGTTAGCACAAAAGCATCAACTACACTCTGAGGAAGGGACTTTTCAATGACTTGAAGCAGTTAAGCAGTTAGGCTCCATAAAAGAACTACTTCTAGATGACACCGCTAAGTCCATAACTTTGTCCAAACTGACCTTTTATGATAAAGCAAACAAAATGAACACCCTTCTATCTAGGTCCCTGAAACCCAGACAGAGACGCTTTCATATCACATCCATACAGCATCCGACGGATCCATTAAAACCACGCCACCTGGCAATGCTGCGGTCTTCACCGACTTTTATAAATCACTTTATAATCACTCCCTGAACTCTGAAAATCAGAGGGAAAAGGAGGAGGAGGACAAAAAGCGCGGATTCTTGACTGACCTAGGACTGCGCAAATTGTCACAAAAAGCAATCCGCAATCATACCTGAGGAAGTTGACCAGGCCATTTCAAAGACCCACTACTCACCGAAAATTATAGACCCATATCGCTCATAAACCATGATAAGAAGATCCTCACAGATTCAGGCGGCTAGACTTAAACCATTTTTAATGGCCCTAATGAACGCCAATCAAAAAGGCTTCATACCAGGCAGACAGCTGTTTGAAAATACCTGCAAAAACATAGATATCATTTGGAAGCAGGTAGCCACCCATTCACCTACATTGGTCATTTCCATCGATGCTGAAAAGGCCTTTGACAGGGTCAAGTGGCCTTACCTATTTGCTTTATTGTTTTACCCGGGCTTCCCGGAACAATATATCACACTGATAAAGGCCATGTAAGAGCACAGGAACCCCCTTCTTCCCTTTCCGGCTTTATGATAGCACTAGACAGAGATGCCCGTTATCCCCCCTTGTATTAGAAATCCTCAGGCTCTATGCCGACACTGAAATTTACAAGAGGTCGAGATGGGAGGCAAGGACTTTCTAGTATCGGCATTCACGGATGATGTGCTCTTAATGCTGTGGAATCTATGGCAACTTTACGAAATGTCATACATTACTATGAGGCAATCTAGGGATACAAGGCAAACATGTCTAAATCTAGTGCACTCCCGGTGGCAATGTCTGTGGCGAGCTTGATACTGATACTGGATACATACAATATCAGCATAGAACAACGCTCACTTAAGTACCTGGGGATCCAATTAACAGCGGACCCAGAGAAATTATACAACCATAATTACATTAATAATTTACCTTTGATGAAAATACTGATAAGGGACATGGAAAAGTGGAGCAATAAACCCATACCATGGATAGGCCAGATTCATTCAGTAAAAATGAACGTTCTTCCAAGAATCCTCTTCTTATTTCAGGCGCTACCTATCCATCTCACTAGGGCACAGTACTTTTATTTGGCAGGATAAATGCACATAAATTGCACAGCATATCAAGACATATCTTGTACCGACCGAAAACACGGGGCAGACTTGGCTTACCCTACCTATATTTCTATTATTTAACGGTGCAATTAACACAAGTAGCAATGTGGCACTCTGCCCCAGATGCTAGGAAATGAGTGGACATAGAATCCATCATGTTGGGAGTGGACCTACCTCAATTCATCATGTGGGTACCCAAAGAACATAGACCCATGAGTAGAGTTACGTGCCCAACAATACTCAATTCTCTGAGACTATTGGATTCATAATAGGTGAGCTACAAGTTAGCGTCAATCCCTTCCACCCTCATGCCTTACCTCCGCAACAGAGAATTTACCCCAGGTATGACGGCTAGGGACCTCTGAAATCTGGAGCAGGAAGGCCTACAAAGTCATCTAGTCCAGGGTACCGAGGTCATTACTTCTGATGACCTCAAACAAAGGAGGCATCTTACGCCTTCCGACTTCTTTAGGTATAGAAAGATTAAGGATTTTGCTAAACAATCCCACATCAAAGAAGAAGCACACAAAATGTATATGCATGTCTGAAATTATGCCTAAAAGTCTAAAAATGCTTCTTTACACCCACCTTTGCACAGACACCGGGGAATGGGGTAGACTAACATACACAGACCAGTGGGGACAGGATTTGGGCAAGGAACTGGAGGGTATTGAATGACAGGAGATATGGAAGGCTAATAACACCACCTCTCTTTGTGTAACTCTTCAGGAGAAATCTTTTAAAATGATGTTCCGGCGATACACAACTCCGGTAAAACTAAATAGAATGAATAAATCCACAACTGACGTCTTTTGGAGGGGATGCGTATCGAAGGGAAAGTCCCGTGGGAGGGATGAAACGCGCAGACGTGCTACCTGTTATCTGATCCTCTGATCTGCTGCTGCTGGGAGTGCCCTATGAATCACTGAGAGTGAGAGTGCTTTGAATATTGTGGACTCTCCATGATCCCTGTTGGAGGTTTGTCTTCCTACACCGCGGGCTTTTTTGAAGATACCAGCCGCGGTGTAATAGTTCATCTTGTGCAGACGGAGTATCATCAGTTTCTGCGGGGAGTATGCTTTCAGATGCTTTTTTTAAGATTTGTCTTTCATTTTTTGTTACATTGTGGGCATATGGACCCTTAGACACTTTGTTTTATACATTGTGTCTGGGGCGGTCTATTTTGCCTACTTTTGTATCCATATTTGTACGGCTGTATTTACCACTCTTAGGATCACTTTCTGTCAATCAGCACTAGATTAGGGTGGTCATGATTTTATTTTTGATGTATATTATTTACTTATATATATAAGTTTTATTTTAATAAATTAAATGTATATTTGCATCTCATAGATTTCCCTTATTTTATCACATTGACAAGCGCACATACCTTTTTGATCTTTGAGCTTACACTCAGTTTTAGTCGCTTGTGGATGTATGTAGCTGCTTATATTTTTATTTTATGTTATAAATTACACCTTTTTCCATCAGTTTTCTATAATGCGTATCGAAGAGGACATACATGCATATGATGTGGGAGTGCCCACTTATGATACGATTCTGGAACTTAGTTAAGGATTTAATAACCCAGGTGTTCTCCAGAGCCCCAGACCCAAACCCTTGGACATACCTGCTAAATAGATCCATAGAAGGGTGGACCAGGAGTGAACAAAAACGTATACACAAAATAACCTTGAACGCACGAAGGGCTGTAGCTTTCTCTTGGCTAAAAAAGGGGATCCCTAATATTACAGGGGTTATAACCAGAATCAAATGATGGATGACCTGATGGCTAGGGTGAGGGGGACCACTAAAGCATTTCAAAAAGTTTGTGAACCATGGGCAAACAGTCTTCTGGGAGAATAGCGATGACAGATGCTGTGGACTGTTCCACCACCCCCCTGAGATCCTAATACAAACGTGAAGATTAGTGATGTCGCGAACCCGAAATTTTCGGTTCGCGAACGGCGAACGCGAACTTCCGCAAATGTTCGCGAACCGGCGAACCGCCCGAAACGCCATTGACTTCAATGGGGAGGCGAATTTTAAAACACACAGGGACTCTTTCTGGCCACAATAGGGATGGAAAAGTTGTTTCAAGGGGACTAACACCTGGACTGTGGTATGCCGGAGGGGGATCCATGGCAAAACTCCCATGGAAAATTACACAGTTGATACAGAGTCTGGTTTTAATCCATAAAGGGCAGAAATCACCTAACATTCCTAAATCACAATCAATATGGATTGACACCTGATATATGACATATTGACACCTTGACATATGGATTGACACCTGTCCTCAGAGCCCCTGATGCACACGGACACAGAGCAGAATAGAGACTGGTCCCCCCACATAGGGTCACTTGGCAGATATGGATTGACACCTGTCCTAAGGATCCCTGATACACACTGACACAGAGCAGAATAGGGACTGTTCCCCCTACATCGGGTCACTTGGTAGATATGGATTGACACCTTGTTACAAACTGCTATTTGTAACGGGCCCTTTAAATGGCAAATTGCCCTGTTTCCCTGGGTTGTGGAGAAGCCTCTTTGCCAGCCTCCTCCGCATGACTATGGCCCCTGGGAGATTGTGAAAATGTATGCACTTTTATTTGGTGTGTATGGCCCTTTAAGACTGTCGGTGGGCATATTGGGGCTTATGGACTCTTTATGTGACTGGTGCTGGCCCTTTAAACACCTTTTTGGGACATCAGGAAGATTGGGACACTGCCCCTTTAAGGCCGTGTCCCCAGACTTGTTGGGGACACGGCCCCTTAAGACGGTGTCCCCTGTGTCCCCAGACCTGGTGCAAACCCTTTGTGCCTGCCTTGCTATTTCCCACTTGGTTCAGTAAATGGGAAATTATTTCAGCTACAGAGACTAAGTCCCATTCGGCGATGGGACTTAGTCTTTTTTTCAGCCTTATTTTTCAGCCTTATTTCAGCTGCAGAGACTAAGTCCCATTCGGCGATGGGACTTAGTCTTTTTTTCAGCCGTTTTTTTCAGCCTTATTTCAGCTGCAGAGACTAAGTCCCATTCGGCGATGGGACTTAGTCTTTTTTCAGCCTGAAATAGACCGACCTCACAGCCCAAATCTATGGAACTGTTTTGGGCAGGAAAATGTGCTTGCGGTCGGTCATAAAAGGACCTCCAGCTAACTTTTTAACCCCTGGATGGATTTGGCTGATTTTTGGTTATGTTTATGTTTTAAGTGTGCTGATTCCAAATATGTAATTGTTATGAAGATGGGGTGTGTAGTTTTAAAGTTACAGTGTATGGCTAAAAACTGTATTTTTACTGCCTGTGTTTAATTATGTTAATCTCTTCCCAAACGTCATTTCGCTCAAAGTGGAGAGAATGTTAAAAAAATATATTTTTGTTCGGAGTGTGAGAAATGCTTTTCAGCCGCCAATCTTAAGCATCATTTGAGTATACAGGAGAGAAACCTTATTTGTGGTGTGTTTATATTGTTCTGATCAGTTTAATACCTTCCGCTGCTTCCTATCAGTGGACGCGGTATATGGCGTTACTTTAGGGAACCGTGCATAATCTGGGACCGAAAGGCGTCACCCTCGCTCAACAGGCTTACAACATTTGTCCCTGGAAACTATCCTGGACATTCTGGTACAATTTGTATGGATATGGCAGTGATTTGCAACAGGAGACAAGAAGATGCTTGGTCGGTCCTCTTATTCAAATTTGGGCACTGCGCTGTCATCAAGCTGTGCCACCAGATAGGGAGTGGTGTGTTTAGTATTGTCTGATCAGTTTAATACCTTCCGCTCTATCAGTGAACGTACACGCATTGATTTTTGTAACAGGGAGATGGAAGAAGAGGCTTGGTCGGTCCTCTTACTGCAAATTTGGGGCACTGCGCGGTCAAGCTAATTTGACACCAATATAGGAGTGGTGTGTTTAGTACTATTTTTATCAGTTTAATACCTTCCGCTCTCCTATCAGTGGACGTGTACACGGCATTGATTTTTGTAACAGGGAGATGGAAGAAGAGGCTTGGTCGGTCCTCTTACTGCAAATTTGGGGCACTGCGCGGTCAAGCTAATGACACCAGATAGGAGTGGAGTGTTTAGTACTATTTTTATCAGTTTA